TATCAGGGAAAATTACTGAAGGATTTTTTAGTGTTTAGCCCATATATGTATGCGTTATGCATTCCATATCACATAAAACCTGGATACGAATTCAAGTTATGTTGAATATGTTGATTTTTAATTTTATTTCTTTCATTTTATTTATCAAAAAATGGTGTATGTTCAACTCTCCTGTGATATAAATGGAATAATTATAGTTTCTTTCATGTCATAATTTCAAACGAGACAATACGTGGCCCTGGGGATACATCTACATTTGCATACATGTACACCCCTCACGATATTGTAAGCATTCTTTCAATGTCGTTGCTTCTAAAGTTAAAATGACAATTCCGTATTCGTCCACATTAACTTCAAAATATCAAACATTAAACTCTTCATCTATTTTAATTTATATCAAATCGCACATTAATCTTTTTTTTTTTTAAATCTTGTAGGCTACGTTTTGTTTTGATTAGAGGAAATGCGAACAGACATTGTTTACAGTGACAGAAAGTTAAACGATTTGCTGCAATAGGATATTCATAATATTCAGATAATTTCAGTACTAGTAAACAATTCCTTTCAGTTCTATACTTACATTGTGTGTATGAGGTTTATAGTATTCAATTCTCGGATTTATCAGGTCCTGCTGTAAATGTATCTGATTCTGTGCATGCGGAAAACCGTGAATAAAGGGAGGAAAACAAACATCTCCTACATTTTCAGAGTTGTTCCTCTTTGATCAGCAAGGGTCTGAGAACAACATCGATTTTACATTGTAAAAAGTTGTTTGTTTATTTATTGTTGTTTTGTTTAATTAAAAAAGAAAAACAATATTTATATCGTAAATGCACATATTATAATAAAGACCATAATTTATCGGAATGTTATATAGCCAATTGTACATAATGACGCAATGTAAAATAAAATTTTCAGAATAAAAAAAAATGCTGCGCTTTGATCAAGAATACAATTTATTGTGTATGAAATAAATAAACTACGGCGCCGCTGGAGGGCCAGGTAAAAAGATATTTTTATTTGTTCGGACAAATTAGAAATTCGTTCGGACGAATTAGATATTTGTTCGGACGAATTAGATATTTGTTCGGACGAATTAGTTATTCGTTCGGACAAATTAGAAATTCGTTCGGACGAATTAAATATTCGTTCGGACGAATTAGAAATTCGTTCGGACAAATTAGAAATTCGTTCGGACGAATTAGATATTCGTTCGGACGAATTAGAAATTCGTTCGGACAAATTAGAAATTCGTTCGGACGAATTAGTTGTTTGTTCGGACGAATTAGATATTCGTTCGGACAAATTAGAAATTCGTTCGGACGAATTAGAAATTCGTTCGGACGAATTAGAAATTCGTTCGGACAAATAAGTTATTTGTTCGGACAAATTAGATATTTGTTCGGACAAATTAGATATTCGTTTGGACGACTTGGTTATTTGTTCGGACGAATTAGATATTCGTTTGGACGACTTAGTTATTTGATCGGAGAAATTCATTCGGGCAAATTAGTTATTTGTTCGGACGGATTAGATATTTGTTCGGACAAATTAGATGTTTGCACAAATTATCTTGTAAAGAGAGATATACAATTTGTCTATTCAGGAGGATTCATCCCTTTTTAATACATAAATAGCTCTTTGGACCATGACATACACACGTTGCAACTAGACATGTGCTATTAAAGTCGGGTATGTTGATTGTAAATATTCGGAAATAATGGTTCTATACCGGTATATATTATAGGCCTAAAGTCTGCCATTCTGAAAGTATATTATCTGAGAGCCCACTAGTAAATTCAAAGGGTCAGTTACTTCTTATCAAACATCTTTTCACTCCCATCCCTGACACACTCATAAGATTTGTCATAAATAAACATCATCTGGTTCTACCAGACCAGCTTTTGCTGGTGGTGTTAAATTGGTAACACTGGGGTGCCAGTGGTCAGTTACCACTTCTTTGAAAAGATGAAATCCACTCCTCAAGGTTTTATTCATACTGCAGGCAATTGGTACGGGATAAAATTGACATTGAAAAAGTAAACCCCCCCCTCCCCCCAACGAAATAGGACTGTCAACTTTGGGCAACTTTTCCTGTGTCCCTTTTTTTTGCTTGTCAATTTTTCAGGTAAGCATTTTTTTCTCAGGCTCCCCCTCCCCCCCCCCCCCCCACTTTCAAAAACGCTGCTACTGGCTGTATTGTATTATATTAAATAAACTGCGGACTCAAAATATGAAGCATCTAATTCTATATGGGTCTTAATTTTTTTAAGGTGGGGCTTACTAGCTAGGACATTTGTAGTTTTGCTTCTATACCGCTGTTCCCACATTTAAGTATTTGGTGATAAAGGAATAAAAAGGGGGATTCTCATAAATCCATATCCAATGGGTTCTTTCTAAGATCGTTAAAAACTATTTTTAAGTATCTATATAAATTTTATTTTATATTTAAATATCAGAAAAGCGCATGAATTAAAACATGCAGGTATAACATTGACCAAATTAAACACACGCCTCTTTCAGGGAAAAGAATAAAAATAGATGAAGACATGTACGTTCCTAGAAAGTGCAGTAAAATTTAAAAACACATCATAATTTAATGCAAGTTAAGCTTCTCAAAGATTAAGACAATCGGTCGTTTTTAAATAGAGGCGGGGGTTGTTACTTGAAACTATTTTGACATTCATTCATTCATGATTTATTTTCCCCATAAAAGGGGTTGGTTTCATAATTCCCCTTTCTAGTGAGTCATTGGCATATCAAACCTTCGAACTGGTACTCAACTGTAAAAACGTATAAACAAAATTAAGAAATGCTGAAAGTAAAATTAAATAGTTTGTTCGACTACATGTACCTCTCCAATAAGGGAAGGGGGCTACAATTATGCTCAAATCAATGGACTAGGGAATACCCCGGTATGCAGATTGACCGGTTGACATCTTAATTCACCGGCTCGCGAGTCATAGGAACAACCTGAGATCAATACGAACAGGTTCATTTTTGTGAAGTTTTCTTAATTCACAAACAGGAATATTTAATTAAAAACTCAATGAGGACCTTTTTTTATTTTATACACCGCATATGCACCAGATTGATTGATTGACTGTTTTACGCCGAATCGGCAATATTTCAGCCACGTACATATCGGCGACGTATGTATTGGAAATGTATTTCAAAAATCATTCACATGTCATGATTAATAAATGCAGTGTAGTGAATATGTACATAAAAAATTATAAGAAAGAGATCATAATTAAAACGACGTATCTTCAAAATATTCATTGATAATGTTGTTCATTAAAGTTATTTTGCAAAGAATCAAAATAAAATGAAACGTCTTGGTGCAAATCGCACATTAATCGCGGTGTCCTGACAGTTGTTCACATTTTCTCTAATTTGTCCGAACAAATAATTAATTCGTCCGAACGAATTTCTAATTTGTCCGAACAAATATCTATTTTGTCCGAACAAATAATTATTTGTCCGAACAAATTGCTAACTCGTTCGAACGAATTTCTAAGTTGTCCGAACAAATAACTAATTCGTCCGAACGAATTTCTAATTTGTCCGAAAAAATATCTAATTTGTCCGAACAAATAACATATTTGTCCGAACGAATTTCTAATTTGTCCGAACGAATATCTAATTCGTCCGAACGAATTTCTAATTCGTCCGAACAGATAACTAATTCGTCCAAACGAATATCTAATTCGTCCGAACGAATTTCTAATTTGTCCGAACGAATTTTTAACTCGTCCGAACAAATAACTAATTCGTCCGAACGAATTTCTAATTCGTCCGAACAAATAACTTATTTGTCCGAACAAATAATTAATTCGTCCGAACGAATTTCTAATTTGTCCGAACGAATATCTAATTCGTCCGAACAAATAATTAATTCGTCCGAACGAATTTCTAATTTGTCCGAACAGATAAAAATATTTTTTTAACTGGCCCTTCAGCGGGCCTTAATAAACATTAAGGGATGGTATTTTATGTCTTGCTTTTTACGGAGTTTAATCGATTAATTAAAAATAATACTTATGGATTAAGTATGGTACTCATGATCACAGCCAAGCCACATCATATCCTATTTTTCTTTTATGATTGATATACATCGGGATCGTTTTACTCGTCATTTTGACGCTTCATTTTTGACGTTAAATTTGACGTCTTGTCAAACGTTCAATTGAAATTGCAAGAGTTATCTCCCCCAGTGTGTTGTACGTCTTTAAATTTTAAATGACTTAAAACGTTTGTAATGATATGGAAATGGAAATTATTTAATGCAAATGAAGGTAAAAGATTGAAGGAGTGTGTAATAAAATAATTTAACGTCCGATTTCACTGCTATTTCGTCATATATAATTTTTAATCTGCCTCTTTACGATTGGTAATCTTATTTGGTTAATATGTACACTGATACATTCTCTTAAGCAGATGCCAATAGACAAACATGGGTGTAAGTATTTCCACAGAAGTTATATCGGACTATCCTCTAACGAACAATAAAATGTGTGAATCACATTCAATGCCTTTTGTTGATATGTGAGGACTGCGATAAATTCATCTGTACTATGTGTACCAAAGATAACCATTTAAATCACAATTGGAAAACATTATTATGTGCAGCTACCAAAATAATGAGAGACATGCAGGATATAGTCCCAAATGTTAAAGAAAATTATCTGACTGGAATTGAAAAAGAGATGAAGAAAATATCAACACAAATCACAGAAAATAAAAAAATTGCGTGAATCTGAGACCGAAAAGTTAAAGAAGCATTTCGAAGAAATAATAGTTTCACTGAGAAAAATAAAAAGACGCCATGAACAAAGATTAAAAGACAATACGGTTGAAAAGAGTGATCAATTGATTCTTCGGAGATCCGAGCTAGACGCGAAAAAAAGAAATTTTTAGACATTATGAAATTTATGGAGGATAACTTCAGAAAAACATCATATTTAAGCTTGATTGAAAATTATAGAAAATTTACAACAATGGTCAGCGATTTGGGGGTGAATGTGACAAAGTGTGTACAATCTGTGAGGTTCACTAGAGGTACAATTCATGTTGATTTGATTAAGTCTTTGTTAGAAAACCTTTGATTTAGATGATGTTGGACTGGTTAAAATAAACTCATTTCCATATGGAGAAAACGTTTTATCTTTGTTGAAGACATTCAATGAAGAACAATGTTATTTAAGAGAAGATGATTCAGAATATATCGAAGAAGTTAACATGGAAGGTGCAAAATCACGGAAGTTTAGTTTCTCTCCTAATGATTTTTGCGTGAATGAAAGGGGTGGATTTTTTTCACTGGTCATACTAGCAAGTCCATCTGCTATTTGTCTCCATCAGGATCTCCACCAGAACCTATCTCTACAGTCATCAGTACAGATCCACAAGGACCATTAGGAATCTGTCAGTCAGTGGACGGTGGATTACTGGTCACCCTGAGAGACAATGAATCGGATCCGTACAACTTAGACACGCGCAGCAGACGTCTGTTGAGACAAATTACAATGAGAGGTGATGCCCATGAGTATGAGTACCAGGAGGACGGTCACACCAGACTGTTTACATTGCCAGTCAGAGCCACACAGAACAGTAACAGTGATATCTGTGTTGTGAACCGTTCTCGGAGCACGGCAGGTGATCTAAGGATTATCTCTCTCTCTGGCGGTATCAAGTCAGTCTATCATGGCGAGAACTTGACTAAGACCTTCAACCCAGCTGATGTAGTGTGCGACTGCCACTGTAACATCCTTGTTACTGACATTAACAACCGCCAAATCCATCTGCTGAGTCCTGATGGGGAGTTTTTGAGGTCCTTGCTGACAGATAATGAAGAGAATCGTCCATACTCACTGTCCCTACGCAATACTAAACTGTGGGTAGGATACTGTGAAGGATTTGTCACAGTGTTTCAGTACAGGATGTAAAATTATTTGTAACAAACAAGGCGAAGATAATTTTGAAAAAAAAGTCATTCATTCTTTTGAGAATTTTTGTATGAAAGAAATTTAGTGTAATCTATAATCCTAAAATTTGAACATTGTAATAAGAGTTCTTAAGATTTTTAGCTCCCCTGAGCTGAAAAATAAAGTGAGCTTTTTTCATATTATTAAGACTGTCAGAAAACTATCTGCCCAATATGCATCTTGTTTTTCCCCAGAATTGTTATGCTTAAGTCAACCAATCTTGTCATTAAGAAGTGGGTAATGGTGGTTCAGCTTTATAAAAGAATTTCTGGGTATAATATGGCTATGGTATAAAATGGGACCAAAGTTTTACATGGGAATATATGGAACAATTAATAATTTTTTTTAAAGACCATAAGGTTCAGAGGGGTTCAAAGGGGTAGAGTGGCCACAGTAGGGAATCTATGAACGAGAAACGAATCATTACCCTTTAGGCTAGTATGGGACCACAGACTTTCTTTTGACAACATTTAAAAATGTATCCAAACCCTCTTTGTAACATCCGCAGCACCAGGATATGTGATTTTAATATGCGAGCAATGAAAGAGTTAAAGGGGGCGTTGGGTCTAAATTGACACCAGGTTTAAATAGGGACTTATAATTATGAATTAAAGGATTTTATCGAAAATGTTTTAAAAATAAGAAGGTTTACATTTGCATTTAAGGGAAATATTCCAAATAGTTTTGACTTTTTAAAAAAGTAGAATCATTGGATAACAGGAGGACTAAAATGAGGACTCGAGGTACAATTTAAAACTAAATGAATTTTACTTTTTTAAAACTAAATAGCAGGACCATGTTATTTATAATGTGCATAAAGTGACCCTAGAATGTTTTAGTTCAAGCTTGGTTATGTCTGGACCAAAATGATTCAAATTACACTTTCATTTGAATGAAGGAAATACTCAAATAAGCTCAATATGGCTTGGATGAGCGTTTGGAGCATGGGCATTTTACTTGTGAATTATCAAACCAAAAATATTTTTTGTTAGAACATAAAATTTATATCGTTTCTATTACATTTGGTATAATTTACAAAATATATGATACAAAATAGTATTAAATGTTAACTGTATTTTCAAAATCTTCAGAAAGAAGAGACTTATTTACAGAAAAAAAAATAATGGCTTTCACAAAACAATGGAGATATAGGAATTTCCAATTGTGGATTTAATAGGTAGATGACACTTCAAAGCAAAAACAAAATAAAAAGGGTTAATTTGGAAGCATATATATTCCGACCATCAACAATTCAAAAGAACTTAATTGATCAGGGCACATAGAACTTAAACTAATGTGCAATAATTATTAATAAATAGCTGTTCATCACGAAAACGTTTAAAATTACACTTCAAAATCGTTCTGGCATAATAAAAACAATCATAACTTAAAAAATAAGCATCATGTAGACAATGTGGCTGAAAAAAAGAAATATCCCACTTTGACCTCTTTTGTGAATCCCATGTTAATATCCATTGATATATTCTATGCATGGGAGGACTGTACAAGATTCACTTGTTCTAAGTGCGCAAAAATAGATCATTATTAAAACTAGAAGACAAAGAAGGGGATCAAAGATGGCCTACATGAAATTAGATTAGACATGAAAAGATTGAGACGATGTCCAAAAACAATCAGAGAACGTAACAGTGTAACTTCGATTTAAAAATCTACATAAGCTTTTAAATGAGATTTTAAAAAAAAAAGACGGATAGGTATCGCGTCGTGAACAAGAGACACTTAAGCCACAACGATCGCCTGTACCAGATCATTTATTTTTCTAAAAAAGCTAAACGTGTATTCCTTTTTAGCTCACCTCAAGGAGGTGGGGGGGGGGCTTATGTGATACCTTCGGCGTCGGCTTCGGTATCGGCGTCCCAGGTTAAGGTTAAATTTTGGGGGGAAGTTTTCTTTTTAAGTACTTATATGCCCTATATTGATTAAACATACATGGAAGTTGCCTCTAATGTGTTTCATAGTATCAGTCAGATGTTGCAATTTATGCAAAGGAATAACCAGGTTAATGTTTTTGGGACATGCAGGTTAAAATTTTTGGTGCAGTTTTTGGTAGTTTCATTTCAGAGTAACTATGAGACCTATGTTGACAAAACTTGCATGGATGATACATCTAAGGATACATACTACATGTACCAGGTTTACTTTGGCTGCTGAATCTGACTACATTTTCAGGATGAGTGAACAGGTATTTTTTGGTGCAATTTTCATTTCCAAGTTACTATGAGCCCTATAATGACCAAACTTGCATGGATGATCATCTTAGGAAGCATACTATGAGACTTGCTTTGGATGCTGAATCTGACCCACATTTTCTGGATGAGTGTAAAGTTCATTTTTTTATGCAGGTTTCATTTTCAAGTAACTATAAGCCCTATGTTGAGCAAACTTGCATGGACGATACATCTTGGATGCACACAAATGGGCTTGCATTGGATCATTCCCTAGAGACCAGGTAAACGTTATGGGTGCAGGTCCGTAACCAAGAAACTATAAGGCCTATATTAACCAAATTTGCACAAATGATCCATCAAGGGATGAAAACTCTCAAACTTACTTCAGATGCTGGATTTGAATTACATTTTCTTGATAAGCAACTGGTTTCAAGTTTTTGGATAGGTCTATTCCAAAGTAACTGCAAGCCCTATCAGATCATAACTGCATAAATTTTGCATTTTTGAATGTACACTTTTAGAATGTTGGTTACTAGTAATTGTGTGACTTTGTCTTACATAAAGACAACATTCGTTGAAGTAAGCTCTGTAATCTCTAATAAACTATGTTTCATATTTTGATTGTATTTTGTAGCCCACTTTGTGGAAAAAATGTGAAAAAGATTAATTGTCTACACTTACAGTGGATGTTTCTACATTCATATATAACCCTAGTGGTCCGCCATCATCCGAGGGGTCGACTATATACTAGTAACTTAGAATTTACACTTCCGTAGAACGCATGATCCATGGGCTATGACATTCGCAATTTTGAAAGAGGCACCTTTCCTCATTTTAACTTTGTACTTGATCTGCTTAATACACTGGAGAAGAGAAAAAATGTTTTTTTTAAAAGCACTTTTACTATATGATCTATACAGCCCCGCCCTAGCACCAGAACCCCTTATCCGGATCAATGAATTTCACAATTTTGGCACCGTAGCTGTATCGACCATAGAACTTACGAAATGATGACTTTAAACAAGACTGCTGATATTCTTCTTTCAGCAGCTATAAAACTGTATAAAATCACAAGGCAAATTCAGCTACGAAGTGTCTGAATATACCACATAAAACCGTACAATGATGAAAAGCCTTTTAAGTTGGAAAAGCCTAGATTAAGGTTGGAAAAGCCAATATCTACGCAATATTTTAGCCAAGATTTAAGTTGAAATTATCAACATTTAATTTGAAACATCCAAATTTACAGTTGTAATATTACCAACTTTATAGTTGGAAAAGTCAAGATTAAAGTTGGAAAAGCCAAGATTGAAGTTGGAATTTTCAACTTTAAAGTCTGAAATCATGCAGGTGACTTTAAAAATGCATAGGCGTCGGAACCGGAGGGATGTGGCTTTTTTGCAAAAATAGACATAAGATAGGCATTGAACATCGGGGCGTAGGATTAGTCCCCCCTCCCCCCGCCACTTTCAAAAGTAAGGTGCAGTTTAAGTCAAAAAAGGGTAAAAATTTGGTATCAAAGGAAGTGTGATCCTAACAACGACAACCACCTCTCGCCCCCACGAAATAGCATTTTCGTGTTTGATTAATACATGTATTTTTATCCCCCCATCACCTTTAATGGAAGATTCGTTGGGAAATAGTTTTTATCCTGTAAAATCTTCTCTGTCCGACTGTTTGTCTGTCCTCAATAAACTTTAGCCTTGTCCATACAGTGACTTTTGAGATAATGAGGTTATGGCTTTCATATTTCACTGCAGGTGTATTTCTTGTGACAAGATCTTTCTTAATGCACCACCGAATTTGACCTCTTGACCTAGACCGTGGAATTTGAACCACTTTTATAAAAAAAAAATTAAAAACTTTAACATACAAAATTATGACGGGCAGGGGTATTCCACAATGGTGAATTTCGTGACCAACCACGGTCAGCAGTTTTGGTGTTGGTGCATTGTTGGTGGTATTGATTATACAGTGAAGTTCTTTGAAAATCTTCTCAGCTTCTGGGTATTAAGCTGATAAACTACCTACATAGTTATGATGAGCATGGGTGACCTTCCTCCAGAATTTTGAATCTCAAGGCCCCTGGATTAGAGGTAGCATGGGGGGGGAGTACTTATATATACTGAAGAATGAATAAATGCTTTGAAATTTGCTCCTTGGTATCAATCAAAAATTTATGATGAAAAATATGGGATCAAAGTTTCACATGGAAATATATGGAACAATTAATAAAATTCTTTTAAAGACCATAAAGTTCAGAGGGGTTCAAAGGGGTAGAGTGGCCACAGTAGGGGATCTATGAACGAGAAACGAATCATTACCCTTTAGGCTAGGATCTAGAACCACAGACCTTCTTTTGACAACATTTACAAATGTATCCAAACCCTCTTTATAATTACAGCGGCACCAGTATAAGTGATTTTAATAGAGTTAAAAGGGGATGTTTGGCCTCAATTGATATCAGGTTGAAATAGGGACTTATGGATTATAGGATTTTATCAAAAACATTTCAGAAATAAGCAAGTTTACATTTGCATTTAAGGAAAATATTCCAAACAGTTTTGACTTTGAAAAAAATAGAAGCATTGGGTAACAGGAGGACTAAAATGAGGACTGCGAGGAATATTTTAATACTAAACAGCGGGACCATGTTATTTATAATGTGCATAACGTGACCCTAGAACGTTTTAGTTCAAGCTAGGTTATGTCACGACCAAAGTGATTCAAATTACACTTTTCAGGTGAACGAAGGAAATACTCAAATAAGCT